TCCTTATGTTGGCAAATATAATTCCCTATTATTTTTTTGCGGGCAGGACTGAGGGTTTGCCCGGAACGGAATGAGTGACGTCTTAAGGAGGCTCATTTCACTGCGCAGGCGCAGTGTTTTATGACTTTGGTACATCTTTGGGTTACTATGTTCCACGTCAAATGTTTGGAAAAATCTGCCGGAAAGTGAACCCTCTGCGGACTTCATGCGTGTCGGCCTTTTCCTGTTTTTCACTGTTTTGGCGAGTCTGGAGTGTTCGTGTGGTATAACGGTCTAACTTATATAAACCCTAAATGAAACCCTAGTAGAAGTATGGTTAATTGTTCCATGGGTCCGGAATATTTTATGACTTGTATACACCCTAAATGAAACCCTAATAGAAGTATGGATACTTGTTCCATGGGGCCGGGGGATTTAATAATTTGAATAAAACCTAAATGAAACCCCAATAGAAATATTGTTAATTGTTCCATGGGGCCGGGGGATTTTCCAATGGGTTGATGGTTGCTGGGTCCACCCTCGGGTATGGCCCCTCGGGTATGCCCCTTCGGGCCATACCTCATACTCCGGGTTTGCCCTTCGGGCAAACCCCTCGTCCTGTGGGTAATTCTGGTAGGACCACCCCGCAATCAACGGATTAAGTCCTCCTCGCCCTCATCGAAAAGCTCGCTATTCAAACGACCCGAGAGAAAGGCGACCTGCAGAAATTTTTCGGTGACTGGTTGAGCCACCGCAGACATGTCACTTGATAACCATAACATATAACACTCTTAGCGAAAGACTTAGGAAATGATTTCGGAAACGAACTGAAATAATGGAAAACTGCTGATAAGTTGGTGCAGCACAGGGATTGTCCAATGGAAATCGCCCGATTTAGTGACAACCTGCGACGCCTCTTTTTCAGATATCTAAGCATTCGCGGTCGCAGAAAATGGACATGGAGCCATCTTTGAGCTTCATGTTCAGGCCATCTTTTTGGGCCAAGTTTAGCGACGTTTTTGACGCGGGAATGCAAAGACAATTGATGCCTCCAAGGAAAATGGAAGCTCGAAAATTGCCAAAAGGCATGAAAATTTGTGGAAATCTGCCAGAAGGTCAGTCAATTCCCACCCCTGTACAACTGGGTTTACTGCAGTTTATTGCTGGGTAGCGCAGGTCAGAACACGTATTCCAATGGGAATGGGCCTTGTATGGCCTTGTTGTATCACTGGCATTGGCTTCACCGCCCTCGACCACGGCCCTTTTTGCCACCCTTCCGCCCGCCCCCATCATCACGGAACTTGGACGGGCTCAGGCAGGGTTCAGAGTAGCCTTGGCTCCAAGAACACTCAGCAGCTCAGGATCATGTGGTGCACCAAACTGATTGCAAACCCCCGTGGAAAGGTTAAGGAACTCTCTGCACCAAATGTAGCCTTCTCCTTAGCTCAACATGACAGCCCTGCCATCCAAAGTAGGGATGAAAAAAGTAGTGTAAAGTTTGTGACGGCAAATGAGAATAAACAGAGAGTGGACGTCACCCAACTTGGAAATATGTGGCATGTGTGAGTACAGCATAAGAATCCAGACGATTCAAGATGTTTCACAGAACAATGCGAATCACATATCACACAAGGTGAGGCCCCCCAGTTGTGTGTCTTGGTTTAGATATCCCCACCGATATATTTCCCATAGCCCAAACGATAACCAAGTTATCAGTCAACCTGGACCTAGCCATCATAAATCAGTTATAAATCCCATTAAATCCACGTTGTTGCTGGTTAAATTAACATGTTCCTATGTTTCCTTTCATGGTGCCAAGCGGTGCCAAGAGTCATCAGGGGACATCGTCCAGGGTTCATGGATGAACCGCACGGGCACGTTGCCTCACGAGGCAGGGGCCTTCCGCGGTAAGATGGCAGGGGAAACTGTTCCATTTTGTTGTTCAATGAATGTGCAGTACATCTGTATTAGTGCGTTTTACGTATATCATGATTTTACGTAGTTAGATCGTATGTTAGATCTGTATAGTCAAGTCATGTCAAGTCTGTGCCTGTGTCTTTACAGATACAAATCATGGCGGTGAAATCCATGGCGGTGACCATGCTCCGATGCTGGACTGAGATCCTGGCGTAGCTCGGGAATCCAATGCCGGATGTAAGCGCCATCCTCCAAGGAAAGCTGATCTGAAGCTGATCTGACCCCAATTCCAACGGAGATTTTCTTCGTTTTGCAATGATGTTGTCAATTTTAGGGCTAGGGGATATCCTATAGTATTGGGCTGACTTTTGACTGATATGTCTTGATATTTGCCAATGTTTTGTAATGCTTTGTAGTTGACATTGGCTGGGATTTGGGATATCCTGTATTCAAAAATGGCCATTGGAAATTCAATGGGTTTTAAGGAAAATCATCAAAATGGGGGACTGTCCGTTGCCAGGGTAGGGTAGCCAAAGGTCCCCCATTCGAAAAATCTCTTCTATTGGCCAAGGATGGCCAAGGCGTGAGCTGCCTGACTGTGGTTGAGTTTGCTACAAGGTGGTGCCTCATAGTTGGGTAACTTGGTTTATAAACTATGCTAACTAGAGATGATGGGAAATATATCTATAGTCAACTGGGTTTCCAAACCAACTCATAAGTCAGAAGTGTCCGGGGCACCACCTTGTAATGTTACCTTTAAAGTTCAAACTTGGAAGAGACTCAGCTCACCATAGATCATCACTCCAACCCTTGCAGCTTAAACTGGTGCTTACTCAGTATAGCAGATCTGCTGGCAAGTGTCCTTGTCGTACATTTTGGATTGCCGTACTACCTGTCACGAAGACTCAACTCAAGCTGGGTGGTCGGGTTGGAATGGTTTACGTCGAAAAATCACAGCCGGAACAAGTTCAGATTTCAGCAGAATACATCAACCCAACAGGCGTCACCAGCTTTGGTTTCAAGTGGCATTGAAGCGGTTGACTCTTCCAGTCGTGAGCCCAGCGGCATGGATCCAGTTCCCTTGGGCACGGTGCTTGGCGATTGCTGCACGGAACCTATAAGCCACTTAGATAATCTGAGATAATCATGCCATCTAGGGAAGAGTCTTTTATCCTTTCCTTTGAAGCTCCCCAGCAACTTGAAATTCATCACCCAACCGCCTTTCGGTCGTCTTCGGGGACATGCGCTAGATGGTCATCCAAAAGAATCCACTGAAATTCGATCGATGGGAAAGAAACACTGCTCAGATATGATCACCTTGTGAAAATTTACCAGTTTGACCCATCCCCAGTTCTAAGGTGGCTTTTAACCCCATGAAGTATAGATGTATCATGATGTATCGTCTATCCACCACAAACCCAATCCAGTAGCCTATGTGTAAATCACTTTAGCAACTGGAGCACCACCATGTGGAGTAATGTGGTTAAAGACAGAATAATAAACATCCCAAAGTCATCACCATTTTTATGGGTGGTATAAACCATCAAAATATTAGTAATGTGGGTAAAACAATAATAAACCATACCCAAGTCATCACCATTAATAGGTGGTATAAACCATTCCCAAATGGGTGGTTTACAATTGTTTTACCCACATTAGTCTATGACATTGCTTTACTACCACAACACTGAGAGTCTGCAAGCTGCCCCAGTTGGAGGCGACGTCATAGTCCACCAGAAAGCTCTCGAACCAATCTGCGCCTTGCCGCCAATCCTCAACTCAGCGCTCGAAGCAAATTTGGGAAAATGTTAGGGAAATGTACCAGGTAAAATGTTGGTTTCCTCTGGTATGTTCTTACATAGCCATGGAACATGGAAAATAGATGAAAATGGACTATTTCCTTTGATGACTTGCCGGTCGGAATTATTTAAGATGCTGATCTGCCCTAGCTGTGTTAGATTAACCAACCAAAAATGGCGCTAGACGTTCAATCAATTAATGCTGGTTGAACGAACAAAGATATGGAAAACCTATGATTCGGGGAAAATGATTTTTCGGGTGGGTTTTCCATATCTATATCATTTCTATATGTTCAACTACTGAAGAACAGCTGGCCATTGGGAAATCCTGTCGGAAACGTCGATGTGGATTGGAACCAACTCAAGAGAAGACTTTCCTGCTCGAGTTTGTGACATCTCCAAAACCAAACTAGTAGAATCATCCCTAATAATCCACCACCATGTCACTGGTCGCAGATCGCGTTTCTCGGGTTTCTACATCCAAACCTCATTGATGGTTCTATGGGCAATCGTTACATCCGGGGTTATAGTTGTATACAACCATGGTTCCTCCATAAGCAACGGATATACCCTCTGGCAATTTAACATAGTTTTTGAAATTGCCATTTACAAATGATTTACCTCCAAAAAATGGTGCTTTTCCCATAGCTATGTTAGTTTGCCAAAAGTATGGCAAACACAACACACTTACCATCCTGACGTAGACCCTGCCATGGGTCAGTAGTTGGAAGACTACTTTCCTCCAAAAATGGAAGAAGATTCCCAGAGTGGAGTTGTGAACTTTTGGGGGATGGTAATTTCCCAGTATTGATAAAATTCCATTAAGTATCTTATCAATGATATGGGTTTTAAAAAGACATAAAATAATAGTCAATAACCATTTAAATATTCAGTTCTGGATGATTTACCAGTCAAACATAGACACTTTCCATGATTTCCACGGCAAACTGTTAGATTACCAAACATTTAACTGGGTTAGCTTCCAGTAAACCAACATAGATGTGGAAAATCCTTGAAAATCCACCATTTCAGATCATGTTCTTAGAGTGTCCATGAGTTTCCATGGTTTTTCCACAATTTTTTCTATCCTGGGGCCCAAACCAGTCCCATGTCCAGCGCCAAGAAGGACGCGACGTTTTGCCGGCCGCGGTTGGACATGAAGCCAGTGGCGCCTCGGATATTGTGATGTACAAAATGTCACATATACCTATATATATATGCTACCCCCCCCCCGATACCCACCTTGAGCGGCCTGCATGCGTGCAGAGCGAGCATTGACATGAATATGTTGAAGACATTTGCCAGCAGATGATGGATCAGGAAGGACATGAGAATCAGATTATTGAAGCAGATGATTGAAGCAAATAGGCGTGAAATTTACATAGGAAGCCCACAGATATGCGATGGCAGCAAAGTCAAGAAGGTTAGAACACAGCAGAAGGTGCTAGCAGCGACGCGCTGATTCTTTTGAACTCTGCCCCGCTGTGGTGGCTGGGCTCTCTAGGCCTTCAACAAGAACCACTGAACAAGAGAACCCGTTGCCAACCACAGATCGTGCCCCCTATGCCAGTACTCATACTGAGCAGAGCGCAACCGGATGCGCAGAAGACTGCTGCCAACTTTGCAGTTCTGGTTGATGTTCAACCGGTCTTTGAGGAAACGCCAGCATCTGTCAATGATCTGGGTGCCCTTTTTGACTGTGATTGCCTTCTTGCTGCCGGGGAGGACATGCTTGTGCAACTCCACATACTTTGGAGTGAGCCATTTCCATTCTCCATTGACTTTCACCCGCTTCTTTTTGTGGATGACCCGGTCATGGAGGACACCCTTGACTTTGATGGCATAACTTTTTGCCGAGTCGGTGTGGAGAATAATGTCACGGTGTTGAAGCCATTTCACAGCCAATGGTTGCCATTCAACTTTTCGAATAGCACCGGGGCCTGGAGCGCGAAGTTTGGAGATGACTGGCTTCAAGCGATGGAGGACAAGCGTCTGAGGTTTACCTCTTTGGACAATGCCGCACCACTGCTCCCAGTGCAGCTGTCCATTCACGACCTTCTTGTCAAACGTGGCTTCATCGGCTTCCACGTCCTGCCATTTTCCACCTTGCCCAAATTTGATGTCCTTCTCCTTGTTCCTGACCCACCTTTCACGTAGCTGGCCTAATCTCTTCTCCATATCCTCAATGCTCTTATGGTTCACATGCAGGAGGCGATGGATGGTGGGGTGGGAAACACGGTTGAGCAGGAGCATCAGTAAACATGCCTGGGTGGCAAGCGGTGTAGAAGAAGAGCCCCAATGATCCACAAAAATGGGGTGAGCATGATGCGGGTTGATGTAGGTGTGGCATTTCTTGGCACTGCATCTATGCTTTAGTAAACCTCCAAGTTGTTGAAGGCCACCAAGGGTGCCACGGCAGCATCGCGGACAGACATGCCCTTCCCATTTATGAAGAAGTCCATCTTCACGAAGCATCTTCACCAAAGTAGATGGAGAGCTTTGCAAAATTTGTGCCAAGGAGCGCTTCCATTTGCAGCGGTCCATGCGAACTTCAGGAACTGCATCAGGGGATCGCACATACTTCACTTGCTTCCATGCCTTGGTCTTCATGCTCGCAGGCCGTTTCAATACAGCACGTAGCTTACCTTTCTTGGGCACGGGAAAGTTGTTGAACTTGGACATGGCAAGGCGCAATTTCGGAGCTAGGCGGAAACCAAACAGCTATAACGAGTGACAAAATTGAATCAGACACTGAATTTGAATGAGCAATTAGGTTTGGTATGGTGCTGGTGGACTTGGAGTGGAATGATTTGCAAGCGCTTGCAAGCATGAGGGTAGACAAACTCAGTTCCGTTGACAAAAGAAGCTGTGGGACAAACTTTTTTCCCCAGATATGATCAATGCGATAGCTGTCTATCCGGAACGACAGCATGTACGCAAGCTATTGCACGTGAAGTACACGCACAATAAATTGGTGAAGCTACAGTAGCTACTCCTAAGCATCAAGAGTGCCTAGCGCATGAGCTGCCTCTTCATCTGCAGCGGTGTCTAGCAGAGCAGCTTCAAAGTCCATCTCATCATTGGTGCCATCCTCCAAGACAGCAGTCTGTGCCTCGGCAGCCTGAGCCAACTCTTCCAGCTCTTGAGACACAGGTGTTGCTTTCCTCCGCACACGGCGGCCAGGATAGACAAATGGACCAACACGACGACCAGAACAATGAGTTCCAATGGGTGGCACAGGACGAGCAGCCAAAGGCACCTGGTCGTCGTCATCCGACGATGGAGAGCCTGGAAGAATGCGGATGTCCTGAGATCGGAACAGTGCATCTTGAATCTTGCCGTTGACGAACTCAATGTAACCCTGGACTTCCTCATACTCTGCCATTGTGTTCATTGCCTGCTCCAGCATCCTTTGCTCTCGACCTACATCAGTATCAAAAGAGGGGCCAGTTTCCATGGAGCCTGCCTTGTACTTGCCATAGAAGGGCTTGTCTTTGTCAGCCAGCAAGTCTTTGTGCAAGTCGTCTACACAGATGCGGTGGATGATGGCCTCCTTATTCTCACTGGGCAAGCGCAAGTATAGAGCCATACCGGTGAAGACGAAGATGATGGAACGTTTCAGAACAGCCAGAACATCTTTTTCCTTCTCCCCGGCAAACAAGTCATCCAGCATGACCAGAAAGCGTCCTGGAGGGAGAGTAGTTCCAATCTTTTGCTCTTCCTCCAAGTCATCTTTCAGATCATTGGAGGCATAGGCCCGCAACTGATTCCTGATGAGGCGGGTATCATTGTAGCGGGACTCAACAGTTCCATCCTCATCCACAGTCAGGAAACTCTTCAAGTCAGCCATGCTCACTTTGGCGCGGCAAGGGTCATCAAGGAACAAGGCTTCTTGAACGCGAGGAGCGCGGTTACGAAAGTTGTCCAAAGACTTGGCCCTACGCCACCCAGGTTTCAAGTTTGTATCACCACTCAGGCGTACATGATACCTTCCCAGGGCCATTGCCAAGATCACAACAAAGGGAGTCTTGCCAACTCCTGGACACCCCAGCAACAACACGCCAAAGTTGAGCATCAACGGGTAGAGGAGAGGCAAGAGGGCTGAGTGTAAGAAGGGCTTGAGGCTGTAGGTAGTCAAAGGGAACTCTGTCATGCTCACGGCTCCCGCTTGTCCTCGACTTTTGTTCTGGCACATGAGCCGAACCTTTGGCTCGGGCCAGCTGGCAATTGGCGTGCCGGAGTCGGACTTGATGTTTATGAGGATCCACAGGGTCTGCTCATTTTGTGCGTCACACTCTGGTGCATGCGCGTTGATGAACAGAACGCCTTCCTCAAGTTCAGCATTTGATGGGGACCATGAAGGTTTTGGTGGAGCACTGTCTGCAGTCTTCTCTTCTAAGACATGCCAGCGGAGCTGATAACCACCAAGTTGACCTAGAAGCCATTGGGTGGCTTTCTTCACTTTCCATGGGCCTGCTCGATGGACAGGTAAGTGCATTTTGCCACTGCAGAAAGAACTGGCTAGTTGGGAAGAGATCGGACGGGACGTGTAGATCACCTTCAGGACGTCAACCTTACCATCGTCCTTGCTGACATGGATGAAATCAACCTTGGATCCTTCAGGAAGAGGGGCTTTGAATTTGATGGCTGCTGGAAGGCCTTCCACATCTGACTCGGAGAGCTTCTTGGAAGTTTCAGCAGGGTCTCCACAGGCTTCCATGGACAAATGGACATCAAAGACGAGCCTAAAGGGCTGGACCTTGACACATTCCCGGCAAGCCTCCGCAATGAACTTGTCCATGGCCAAGGGTGTCTCACAATCAATGGGACTGTGGTCTGGCTTCTCTAAGAGACGTAGAAGCATCTGTTTGCCAGCCAGGTCTGCAATGGCCTTGTCCATCAAAGCGCCGGACATTTTCGTCAGATTTGAGAGCAACGATTGCGGGACAGGGCTAGAAGGCCAGGCTGAGCCAAATGTCACACAAGAAAGCAGATGTGAGGCAAGCAGAAGGAACCAATGTGCAGCAGACAAGCGCAATGTTTTGTTTTTGTTGTTTACGTTGCGGTTTTGGATATACAGCTAGGTTGGAGCTATGCACTATCTTACTTTCCCTGTATACCCTTCCTTTAAAGACAGCATACCTGCATCATGTCACCCTAACCCCAACTAACAATACTATTGTCACGCTGCAATAAGATTCCTTTTGTTCACCGCACAGCCGCTATCTAGAGTCCAATGCGAATCTTCAAGGCAGCGATCTCGCCCTTCAGCTTCGCATTCTCCTTGGCCAACTTGTCTCGCTCGGCTTTCACACGCATAATCTCTTCCTCGATTTCCTGGTGGCAGGCAATGGCATCGGAGAACTCCAAATTTTCGGCTTGAAGGCGGGTGATCTGTGCAAGAAGCTTTTCGGTGGTGGTTCCAGAAGACTTGGCAGATACATTGGATGACTTTGATGCCTTAGATGCTCTGGAGGGTGCCTTGGATGACTTCGATGCCTTAGATGCTCTGGAGGATGCCTTGGATGACTTCGATGCTGTAGAGGACGCCGCGGACGCCTTCGAAGAAGATGACGAGGACGATGATGATGAGGAAGATGACGACGAAGAACGCTTGCGCTTGGGCTGAGGAGGAAGATGCTTCATGTCCTCGAGTGCCAGCTGAGGAGGTGATGAGGGATGTGCTTGGGCTGCCTTCTTTGGTTTGGCGAGGTTGGTCTGCAGCCTGCGTGTGGCATCTTGGGTCCATACTCCACTGATGCCGGTGGGGATGCCCAACTGTTTCTGGACACAAACCATTGCTGAAGCCAAGACCTTTTTGTTCATAGGGAGTCGTGACGAGTGAACATCCCAGAGCTGAACATCCTCAACGGTCGGGCGAGGAGCCTGAACGTAGACCACCTCCACGCTTGCAGGTTTCAAGCGCAATGTGGCTGAGCCATTGCTCAAAGAGACGCTGCCCTCGATTGGAAATTGCATGTTTGTGACCTTTTTCTAGTCAGAGACTTTTTTCGGATGAGATAGGCGGCTGCAGAGATGAACAGTGATGTGCTGAACTGAAAGTGTCTGATTAGAGTAACTGTTTCTCAGACCAGGTTTGACACCACCAAATCCCAGGCGCCTCTGCTGTGGTTTGTAGATGGCTTTGGAGCAGTTTGCCTGAGCAACTTGTTTGTGTGAGTTTTTTGACAGATAAGTTTGCACCTTGAGGTACTGACCAGGTTTGACACCACCAAATCCCAGGCGCCTCTGCGGTGGTTTGTAGATGGCTTTGGAGCAGTTTGCCTGAGCAACTTGTTTGTGTGAGTTTTTTGACAGATAAGTTTGCACCTTGAGGTACTTAGGCAAATTGCACGCAGACAAAAATTGCAATTTTTTGCAATTTCCAGACCCCAAATTCAAAGATTCAAAGATTCAAAGGTTGAAAAGAAGTTCTTTGAATCGAAGCCCCCAAAATTCAAAGATTCAAAGATTCAAAGATTCAAAGGTTGAAAAGAAGTTCTTTGAATCGAAGCCCCCAAAATTCAAAGATTCAAAGATTCAAAGATTCAAAGGTTGAAAAGAAGTTCTTTGAATCGAAGCCCCAAAACCTAAATTCAAAGATTCAAAGATTCAAAGGTTGAAAAGAAGTTCTTTGAATCGAAGCCCCAAACCCCAAGTGAAAGATTCAAAGAACTTCTTTTCAACCTTTGAATCTTTGAATCTTTGAATTTGGGTTTTGGGGCTTCGATTCAAAGAACTTCTTTTCAACCTTTGAATCTTTGAATCTTTGAATCTGGGGTCTGGGGCTTCGATTCAAAGAACTTCTTTTCAACCTTTGAATCTTTGAATCTTTGAATTTTGGGGGCTTCGATTCAAAGAACTTCTTTTCAAACTTTGAATCTTTGAATTTGGGGTCTGGAAATTGCAAAAATTGCAATTTTTCTCTGTGTGCAAATTGCCTAAGTACCCAAATTATTTAACCACATAGTACCAAGTGACGTGCAAGTCTATATATATATATACATATATATATATATACATACATTTATTTATATATATATACATACATTTTTTACATACATATACAGTAGATCATTAAAAACCTACTTCTTGAATCAATGTGAGGTGGGTATCAGGGGGGGGTACCATATATATATGTATATTGTGTATATTGTGCGTATAGAAAAAATATATATTAATTATATATATATGTGTAAATCTATTATATATATATATATTTATATATATATATATATTTATATCCCCCCCCTTTAAGGGGGGTGGGGGGTAAAAACTGAAATATTCAAAAAGGGGGGTGTAACCCCCCCCACACACCTAGAAATATGTCAGCTAAATATGTTTGGTTTATCTGCGCTAGAATAAGGCAATGGAAAATCTTAGCGCTCCTCAGTTGTGCACCAACGGGCACCTGGGGATGTGGTCAGGTACGTGCAAACTGGCTGAAGCTCGCATTTTCATGTTTTCTCTCCCCAAATTTTGTTTGTGATTTTTTTGAGGGGGGAGGTGCAAAACCAGGATATTTTTCAGCTCTAGAAGCCCCCCCCCCGCACAAATTCCATTGCAGCAATAGGATTCCGTTTCTGAATATCTTCAAAGACCAGGAGCAGGAGTTCGCAGAGGTCATGGCGGTTTGTTTTTTTGATCTATGTATATCCAATTGACATATCTAGGCTAAAGTCTGGCATCCGGAGGACCCCCTCCCACTTCTTTTGGAAATCGAAAAAACATGTGGGGTGGTAAATTTCATGTGGTCACACGAAATATGTTTCGGAAATTTCTTGTTTTACCCCCCCAAATATTCCAGGGTTAAAGGGGGGATATATATATATATAAATCGATAGATACAGATTCATGTATATATATATATTATAATATATGTATATATATATATATACATGAATCTCTATCTATCGATATATATATATAAATATATAAATTATTCATAATATATCTATATATATATATATCTGCAAAATTTACTTTAAATTCAAAACGGTTTCCTCGTCTTAAATCTACTTTTTCCCTCTGATTAAATCTTCAGTCCTCGCCTCGTTACATTCAAAACGGATTTCAGCCCTCGTCCCATTTCTTTCTCGACCGCAAGCCATTCGCACTAGTCCTCTGCCTCCTTTTGGGTTGAACTTTTTTGAATTATCTTTGTCGTCGTTGCAGCAACGCTCTGGGCTCCAGAGGCTTGGGGATGCTGAAAAAACTTTTCAGGGCCTAAAAAGTTTTTTCCTGTTTCCGAGATGCCTCTTTTACAAGGGTCTCGATTCCCCCCAAATTCGACCCCAGAGAAGAGAAGCTGCAGCAGCAGCACCAAGATACCCCGCTACACCTCAAGCTTTAGCAATTTTAGAATCTAGTCGCGCTACCTGGGAAAGGTGAATAAGAACTATTGACCAAAATTTCAGGGTTCCCTAGGGTTCTTATTTCAATTTGCTGGTAGACAGAGTTGAATCCAGCAATCCAGCCCCTGAAGTTCTTAATGCAGTGGGTTCTTAAACAGTGGTTTCACTGTAGAACAAATACGGAAGTCCTGGAACAACCGGGCATGCCACCACAGGGCACTGACTGAAATTACGATAAAAAAAAAAATTCGGGCTCCAGAAAGTTTTTTTTAACGGGGTCTGAATGCAGCCTTAATTTTCTATTTTTTCACTCTGATGGGAACAAAAAAAGCTTTCTGGAGCCCGAAAAGTTTTTTTCACTCGTTGCACATGCTTTGAAAGCAATTTTTGCCCACCTCGTTTTGTGAATTTAATTAATTCACCTCGCTTAAATTGCAAAGATTCACCTCGTACCTCGTCAGCCCTCGCTCTAAATTATGCAGATATATAATAAACAGGTATTCGTATTTATTTATATACAATCATATATCATACTGCATGCGTCGGTAGATTTTTACATCATCTCAATCTTTCCAATGTCACACTTTCGCTTCGACAGCTGCCGAGCTGCGCAGCTCCCGCATATTGGCATCGACCAATGGAAAGCCCGTCCGTCCTTCGGCCCAAAGCTGGAAGAGCTGCATGTCAGACTTCCAGTCCTAGGACCGGGCCTTGAAGATCGACAACAAATGGGGGGATACACCTTCAAAAAATGGATAAAATGGGCGATCCAATATGAAAATTTTGGGTAGTCTCCTCAAGTTTCAGACATAAGCTAGATGTGATGTATGCAAGGTGTATGTAGATATCAGCAAAGGAAGTTTAGAGTTAGAAAACTTCCCAGTTACGGACGATTGTCAGTGTTAGCAATCCCACCATCATGCCAAGCACATCATTATGTCAACCACCCATCATCAAGTAGTTGGAAAGTGTAACAATTCGGCCGCGTGTGAATTCAAAGATGAAAACACTTTCGGGCGCGAAACCCTGTTTTTTCGGGTAAAGTGGTTTCCGTGCTCGTGGGTTTGGGGTTCGGTCTGCAAAAGTTGTCGACAAAAAGCGCGCAGGACTGTAGCCAGAGCTCGATTTGCACTTCAAAAGGTTAATAAAAAACAGACGGCGGGCACACATGAGCTTCCCAGACGCGATCCAAGCTCTGCAGCAATCCTCCAGTTCAGCTTCTGAATCCACCGGCTGAACCTTTTACTTACGGACTGAAGCCAGGTCATTCCACTGTATCGAAGGTATACAGAAATTCGTGCAGCAGATCACAGCCGCTGTATTTCTTCCAAAAAGAACCCTGCTTCGGCAGGGTGTGTGTGTGTGTGTCACATCTGCATAGATGTAAAACTTCCTTTTTTCTGTTTTACGTTAAGGCAGGGGGCCAGGAACCCATCACTGTCTGTCCTGGCCAACGAAGACCAGACAGTATGGGGGTGAAAACGTACCTGCAATATTCTTCATGATGGGACGTGGCTAACCCGAGAACCACCATGCCGTTTTTTAAACAACTTATTTTACATGTTTTTACATGGTCGCCGACAACATCGTCGCCGATGCATATTGGTTGCGAGTAATCTTCGCCGACGACATCGCCGATGACATTACTTTTGGTTGATTAACTTTTCGATCCTTATTCTATTCTTTTTGATGTCGATTCAGGACATGGTGATCATTCAGGAGAACTTCCATTATTCGTAGGATACGTCGTAGATTAGTTTGTTTCTCACCTAATCTGCATGTTACAGGATTCAGTTCCTGCCGGATCACTACAATGATCCATTCTTATCTAGTGTGTGTGTGTGTGTACCATCTGCATAGATGTAAAACTTCTTATTATTGCAGGGGCGTGTGGCACTCATGTCCTACCACGCGCAATGAAGCCGTGGGCATGAGTGGGAAGGGAAACGTGGCCGGCTTCCTGTACCTGCAGCTATATTTATATGTATAATCCAGCCCCTGGGCGCATTTTAGTCGCAGCTGGGGGGACCTATATTTCATCGCTGTTGGTTTATACTGTCATTGTCTCCTGTGATTATACTTCTATACGTCTATATGATGTGTATATTCATCCTGTCATTTGTATAATAGTTTGTGTTTTTGCACGTCCGATGCATTCCACAGCAAAATCCGCAACGACAGTTCTGAGCAAGCGTGTGCCTGAAAATTGCGTATAGGCCCAAAATGGCTAATTATGTATTTTAATTCTTTGGAATTGGGAAACATGATGATAAACTGTTTTTCCAATTATATACTAAATTACCAAATTCAAACCACAACGGATTGCTAAACCATCAAATTTGGGTTGTGTTTTCTTGTTGTTTCTCATTATTTCCAAACAAAGTTAAACAAAGGAAATACAGCGTGAGAACTTGCCCCAAAAGCACATCTCCGTCAAGAAGCTCTTCCTCCAGCTATGCCATGCAGTTTGAAAATCTGGTTGCCTTGGCGGCCATCCTCTAAGTTGGTTAAGTGGGTGAGAGGTCAGTTTCCAGCAACGTTGCCATCAAAATCAAGGGAAAAAAAGGCAACCAAGAGGGCAAGCAAAATCTGAATCTTTAATGGCAAGAAATCCATCCAGCCTGAATTTCAAAACAATCAGCAGTGTTAGTCCCACCGATCTGGGTGACTTTGCCTGCAATCTATCAACAAGTTCTACTACTTTGTGGGAAAAATACCTTAACATGTCCTACCCCTTGGAAACTTGGACAAAAAAACAATACAGAACAACCTATTCACATCAGTACCCCCCATCGCAAGCTGACCTGTTGAGGTTCAACAAAAAGTCTAGAGGCCATGCTTGGCGGCGAAGAAGCGGAAGAAGTCACGCCACATCCTGGGTACCCTCTGGTAATTTAACATAACTATAGAAAATGGCACAGTTATAGCTGAATTATCTATTTAAAAAGGTGATTTTCCATAGCTACGTTAGTTTACTAGAGGGTAACAGTAGGAACTACTACACTCTGGGAATCATCGAAATTGTGATTCCACCAGAATTGAAAGTTGACCAGCAAAAAAAGTAAGGCTTTAAGCATCAAAAATTAGGAGTTAGATCAAACCATCAAAGATGGGGGTGTATGATGTAAGTGTCAAAAATGGTGACCAAACCATCAAAATTTGGTTAAACGCAACAGACACGTTTTGGTGTCAACTTTCAAATGAAATCCATCCAGCCCACCCCTCATCTTTGTCGGTGGTGCTGCCTTAGTTTGTCTGTTTCAACTGGGTCCCAATCTTGTATTGGTCCAGTTCCACCCACATTAAAGATGGGCACTTTGTGCTGCCGCATCATCCTTCTCCTTGCTCTGCGCGGCAATTGGCATTTTGTGCACGTGACCTTCGTGTCCTCTCCACAGACAAACTCGTAATTTGAATTGTAATAATGCCAGCCACAAACCGATCTCCACTGAGCGGATGGTGCATACACCAGAATCCGGTTATTCTTGTGGATGACCTGATGTCTCGCTGATTTTACCAGGTTTGGTAAATAGGTGGAATTTGATTCCCACTTGGTCTCCAAAACTTGGATTTCCTTTTGCAAGTTTTCTGCTGCGTCCTTCGTGTTCGCTTTGAGCTTTGCCAGTTCTTTCTGGATCTGTTGTACCACCGCCAGCTTCACCTCGGGATCGCGAGGAACTTGAGACTGAGCTTGGAGCACCAATTCAGAAACTTCCTTGTCCACTTGCAAAGTGGATTGTTTCAAAGGCGCTTCACCAAACTTTTTGTCTCCATTGACCGCCATAGATTCTAGGGCTTCCTGCGCGTATTCCAAGATGACGCTGCTTTTCCAACGTCCCAAGAATGCCACTTGTGATATGGCCCAACCCTTCCTTATGTACTGTAATGCCCCCGATCTTCGAGCCGAATGGCCCGTGACCGTGGAGCCATACAGCTTTCTCCACGCCTTGATGACTTCTGCCTTCGTCGCCTGCTGGACCTCAGCGGTGATTGCAAGATGGCTGTCAGGTGACCCTTTGAGCATTGCGTGATTCACCAGGACCTCCAACACGGCATAGGGGCACCTCAAGTCACAACTGTCTCTGCACAAGCATTGTAATGTCCTCATCACCCCTTTCGCTGACTGGTCCATCTTTGACTCACGAAGGATGAGGGACACAGTCCTCCCACGAATGTCAAAGGACACATCGCTGGCTGTCAATCTGGCTATCTCTATTTCTCTTAGCATCCAATGAGTGCCCAGAGCGAAGAGATGTGCAGCCAGTAGCAACTCACCTTTCTTTGCGCCACCTTCAGGTAGTAGGGACCCGCAAGACCAAATGTCTTCTTGCACTTCGGGCGCCTTTTTTCTCGGCCCCATGCCCCGCTTCGCTGCACTGATGGTGAGCTTGAAGTGCCTGTCCAACAGATGCGTCCAAGCGTGGCCCAATTCCACGTGATGCGTCTTTGCCTCGATGATGTACATGTAGGCCGACTTGTATCCGGCTTCTCTCAAAGCTCCTGCCAGCATTTTGATCGATTCCGGAGTCAAAGGGTAGGATGCCTTCGCTGCGTCCAGGATCTTCATGATAGATTTCCTCCTCGAGGCTTTGGCCGCCCTTGAGGAGTTCGAATAATAATCTTCTTCGATCCGTGTTAAAATGCCTTCCCTCTTTTGCTTTGATTTTGCCAACTCCACCGCTCTTTTGATGGTGGGTTTGAACCCGAGTTGGTTCCTTCCCTTTACCTCCCGTCTGACCGGGATATCTGTTCGCCGCGTTTTGAAGCTCGGCTTCTTCTTCTTCTCCACAACCTCGGCTGGTTTCCTTTCCTTCGTCACCTCTGCGCCCACAAGTTGATCATTCTCCTGAATTTGAGCACTGTCTGGCAGTCTGAAATCTGGTTGGGGCGCATTCCACATTTTGCCCCAATCGTTGAGCCTGAGCCGTTTGACTGGTGATGCTAACAATTCGCACCACCAAGGTTTCTGAGGCAAACTACGTTCTCGCTCCACCTCTTCCTTTGGATTTGGTGCATCTCGATTGGCCGTAACGGATGCACTCCTGCTCAACCTTCCCTGTTTTTCCCGGGATGACCAGGCATCCCCATTCTCTTCATCGGATATTTCCAGCATAGGCCCAGCAGACTTGGGCCCAGCCCGGGGAGAGTCATGCTCCTTCCCAAATAGGTGTGCCGGTGGGCTAGGTGGAAAAGGTTCCAAAGTTGGCAGCTTTGGTGGAGTCGAAGTGTTGCCTTCGTCACCTTGGCCTTCTTCGTCTAATCGAGATCCACGAAAAACTCCTCCCCAATCTCGTTGAAATACCTCCTGTGCCACATCCCTGGCCTTCGGGTCACGAACGACGCCAAGTTGATCTCTTCTGTGGGCCACCGCGGTTCGTGATGGGTTTCGCACGAAGTCAAGTAGACGTATGGGTTGTCCACTTCGTGCAGCGCTGGTGGGTCTGTCTCCTCCTGGAAAAAGCAACAGTGATAACACGCCTTCATGCCGCAGATGATCAGTAGGAAGAGAGATGCTCCCAAAATTCCCACCGTCCATGTCGGCCATGTTGCATGATGAACCCACAGCGCCGGTTCGAGCTCTAGGCGTAAAACGACTTCCGTCATGTTTGAGCCCGGCTGCAAATGAAACCCTAATTAAACCAAACGCCATGCAAAACCTTGGACCTACCTTCCTTGATTTGACAAGTTGTGGCTAGCCAGTGCCCTTCCTTTTTCGTGGTGCACTTGCTCTTCGTCAATGCAGGCTGGCCCAAATGTCGTTGGCCGCCGCACTGGAGAGCCACAACCCTGGTGCTGTTGCAGGGGTGGGCAAATGGTAAAACTCAGGCCCCCTTTCCCCAACATCCTTTTGGATGGGGATGCCCTGCAATTCCTTGGGCAGCTCGGCCGAGTCCCATTTGTCCGGGCGGCTCAGGTAGTCAGCCACCGAGTTCGCCACCCCTGGAATGTGCACCGCCTTCAAACCTTCGATTCCAATGGCTTCGCACTGGATCGCTATCTCGGCCCCAATGAAGTTGAGGGTCGTTGATGGGTTGCTTAACTTCTGAGTGGTGGCCAGCGCAATCATGCTGTCCGACTGAACCTGCAACACCAACCTGCAAGATTTCAATTGCGCCGACCACGCTTTCAGGGCCAAGAGCACGGCCAACGTCTCCACGATCCCTTGTGAGGCCGATGTCTGCCAAACTTCGCTGAAACCCAGCTGTTCGGCGTCTACCTTCGTCACCGCAAAGGACAGGGCCTTGACCACTTTGTTGTTGATCAGGAGTATCGCTCCCATGCCCTGCGGACTTGCGTCCGTCACCACTGTTGCGCTCGGATACTGATCCACCTCGAGCTTGAACAACCTTTGCGGCCTTTCCATCGCCACGTCCAAGAACGTCAGCAACCATTGTCTTGCCTGTTCCAATTGCTTCACGGGGAACAAGGCATCCTTGTTTCGTTGATCGGACCTCTTCTCTCTGCGGCGAGCTTCATCGCCTGATGCAATGTCATCCAAACGTTCATGCAATACCCGGTAAAATATTGACACCAACCATCGTGCCTTTGGAAGGATTCCCGACAACCACGACAGCTTTCCCGCTGCTTGTCGCAGTTCCTTCAGCGGCGCCATACCACGGTTGTCCCATCCCTTCAAAAGCTTCACCAGATCTTGCGTGAACCTGTCCGGCAGTGAAAGTATCACCACATCTTCCTTCAGGTTGAACTTCACTCCAACCCATTGCACCTGTGCTGCACGCTCGCCTTTGGCCAGGGACACTTGCAACCCTAGTGCTGCCATTGTAGTCAGCACCATTGACAGTATCGAGTTGCGTTGTTTGAGCGTGCCCTGCAAGATCCAGAGGCTATCATCCAGGTAAACCTGATGCATCCCTTCGTCACCTTGAAGCAGGGATTGCAGCAGCCTTGCCACCAGTGCTGCCACCCTTGACCAAATGAGTGGTGCCGTCTTGAACCCAAACAACATGGCTGAGAACAAGTAAAAATCGTCGTTCGCCACGTTGGGTGCCAGTGCATGTGGCAATTCTCGAGGGTCCAGGCCCAAGGACATGTAGGCATCACTGATGTCGATGACCACCAGTTCCCTTGCAAAGTTACCTTCGCTGCCATGGGGACGTCGAAGTTTGTATACTTCCCTCATCATTTCCACCGCATCTTTTGGGCGAGGAAGTACCAGTTTCTCTGGCAATGTTGATTTTCGATTCCCGCCCGACCTACGTAGGTCCAAAATGATGCGCCGCTTGATGCCCTCCGGCTTCTCCTTGATGATGAGTCCCAATCTGCTTATGGTTCCATGGGCCATTTCAGATTCGACGATGCCTTTGGGCACATCCACCAGAAAGCCTCGCTGCCGATAGCGGTCCAGCTCAATTTTCGCTTCTTCGACGTTGTCCTGCACTGAGATGTAGTTCACCATCTCGCCTCTGCTGAGCTGCGTTGCGGCGTCCTCCAACTCGTGTGAACCTGAGAAATCCAAGTTGGAGTCGTCCGTGTTCAAAGGGAACACTCCGGCCACTTCAATGGGCACCTCTATCCCCAACGGCGCTCCTTCCTCAATCCACCTCGCAACATGGGTCTCCGGGTCGTTGCCTCTGTTGACCCAAGCTTTGAAAATCTCCGCCTCCAGAGGTGACGTGAACATCCATTTGGCTTTCACCCTCACTGCTTTGGGCGCTTGAGCTCCCAGCACTTTCTTGAGTTTGGCCTTCCAGCCTTCCACCAACTTTGGATCAAGCGCGCAATCCTTCGTGCCGTAGGTTTCCGCCACCAAGTTGGTGTTTTGAACTTCGCGTTCAAAGGCCTCCCATGCGGCCCGGATTCTGACTCCTATGGACTGCAGGTTTGCCATCTGTTTGACCACTTTGAATGGATCCCTCAGCCCGCCAAGGTAGTCCAGCTGTTGCGCTGTTGATTTCTTTGCCCTGCTTGCTTTGAGGGTTCCATATTTTCCTTCTCCTTCTTTCCAAATATTTGCTGCCAAGTTAGGCTCCAGCTTCACTTTCTTCTTATCTGGTTCTTCTTCATCCCCTGAGCCTTCGCGTCCTCTACGATCTCGACCTCTTGCCGCAATGCCTGAGGAGCTGGGTCTTGGAGGTGATTCTGAACCATCAGGGCTTCCTCTTGCTCTCCTTGATTCTGTTGTAGGCCTACGCAACGGTGTTCGAGACCTCCTCCTGTGCACGCTGGGTGGTCTTGGAATGTGACTGCTGAGGACGTCGTGTTCTACCACCCCCGCCTTCGTCTGGTTGATCTCGTCCTGCAAAGATGACATTCGGGCTTTCAAGAACTCCTCCTTCCCCATCAGTTTCAGTTGCGATATGGCCAATATTGCATACTCTCTGCACAGTTTCTCCGGATACTCTGCGGATGCTTTGGATCTAGCTGGACCAATCACTGGCTCATGTTTGGCGTGTTTGCCACATGAGCACACCTTCGACAGCTCGGGCAGGCCCAGCAACGATCCTGCGAATTGTTGTGGCTTGAAATGCCTCTTTCCAATCTCCACGCCCGATTCATACCTGCAGGTGTTGAAACGAGCAAAGAACCTCTTGTCCCTCTGCAGGAACTTGTCCATCTCGGGCAATTCCCAGGCTGAGATGTGTTCTGGGCAGTCGCTAGGAGGAGGGTTTTCTAATGTCGACGCTGGCGGAACTCGGTGGATTTGTTTCCGCTCTGCCACCGCCACCGCCATATCGATGGCCCTACATGCCAAAATTGTGCCTTCGTCACATTGAACTTGTTCACGTTCTGTATTGTCCCTCCTGCCATATGGTTCTGATTTTGTACGAACCGGTCCAGGCATGTTGGCTGCGACCCTGTGCCTCAATCTGGAAAATGTGCTGCATGGAAATCCAGCATGAAACCCATCAACATAACCCCTTCGTGCCCAACGCAAATGCGTCGTGTATGGTTCTGTTGATGCAAGGTCACCTGAACCGTTTTCCTTCTCGACGCTGATGACCTTGATCTTGATGCCTTGTCGAGTCGCTTCCAGCTTGAGGGCCTTGGACAACGGGTCATTGCGGCCTGCGAAGTGATGGATGAAGATGAAAACCCTCTTGTTGTAGAACTCTTCCAAAGTGTTGGACAACAGGGGATCTTGTTCCTCTGGTTCTTCTTCGTCTCCACCTTTTTCATCTTCTTCTGCTGAACCCTCCTCCGTCTCATACGTGTATGAATAGGTTTCCTCCTCATTTGTCTCCGCTTTGGAGTCCTTCGTGTCGTTCTCCTTCTTCGTGTTTTCCGTTTCCTCTCCATGTTTCTTCACTCTTTCTTCTTCGTGCAGTCCTTTGATGGGTGACCTGGAGATTGACAAATCGTGCAACGGTGCTCCCTCGTCACCTTCGATGCGCACGGTTGCCCTGGTGGTAAACCAGCACATGGGCCATTTCCATTGTTCCAGCCATAACAAAGCTGTTTTGTCGTCCCCTTTCCGTTTCCTTTTCTGCTTGTATTTGGACTTCCTTTCCCACCTTGTCCGTCTTCTCCATCGCCACCTCTTTGTTTTCTCTTTCCATTCCTTCGTCTCGTCCTTGTAGTCCCTGTGAGCGTAGGGTCCATGTTGGTCTGCTTCAGGCCTTCCACTTGTGGAGTTATGGGCTGTACTCCACCGTTCATGAAGCCCGCTGCTAACTGCTCTGCTGGCGTCCTGGGCTTCCCTTGACTGCCCGCCGCAATCCAGGCTAAGGCAGGCGAAATAACCTGCTGTTGCCAGAAGCTGTCGTCCATCGCCACCAGGTTGAAGATGAAGTCCCAAGGCCTCTTGGGGTCCCACATCAATGGCACTGATCTCCCTGCCCTGGCATCCATCACCATCCTCGACCTCAGACGATTTGAGTGTGATGAACGGGCCAGTTCGTCCGCTGAGTAGATCAGGTGCCAAGCTGATGGATAGGTTCTGGTGAGGCGCTCGATGGTCATTTCGTATGCATGTAATGATGCCAAGGACACTGCGTCCAACATCACCAGGGCAGTGCGCGAGATCCTGAATGATGATCTCCACTGCACGAACGTCGCAGGTCCCGGCAGCTCCTTCGTCACGTAACCATTGGCCGTGAGAACGTAGGACCTGAATCTGCTCGCTCTCAACGCTTTGGATCCATATGGCACCCAAACTCCAAAATCCACAAAAGGTGAAATGTCCTGCGTGTTGATCCTCTTGTCCAACGCACTGACCTGCTCCGATGTAGGGTCTTCTTCTTCGGGCGGCCAGCCACCTGTAGTTTGGAAGTACTGTTGGTACCACCTCGATCTGACCTCTTCGGATTGTACGGTGAACTCCCCGTCGTCTGACTGGTCGATCACCTGAGTCATCTTTAGTTTCCTTTCCCCCGTGGCCTCTCCTTTGATAGGGGAGCTTGTGCCTTCGTTTCCATGAGCTTGCCGTTGATCCAAAAATGGGGATTGATCTTGCCACCTTTCCCAGTCCCCTCCTCCTTTTGCATGCATGA